GGCAGTTTTTGATATCAGTTTTTATTTATAGTCCTCTTTTGTTACAGTCGGGGATTCTCACTATCTGAGGTTCTAGATATAGTGATAATAACGTAGCAAATGAAGTGAATGAGTTATTTATTAAGCCACCTAAACTATATGTTGGCACTGATAAGGATTCATGGAATGAAATCGATAAACATATGTTAAATGATTTAACTGGTTGTCAGTTACAAGCTGGTGCTCAGGTAAAATTATACAATAACGAACGTATTGGCGCGAGTGACGACGATGTAAATCTCTACCTGAGACCACAGCCACCATCATCTGTTGCGCAGCCTTCCTAGGAACCTCTAAAGCTTAAAAAAATTTTGATTTAACAGAGATTACAAAAAGGGCAAATAGAAAAATTACGGAAATTACAAGAAGAGTGAAAAAACAACTGAACAACATAATAAATGGATAAGTACTGTTTCACCAACTGCATTGATCATTCATTGCAGCAACATCGTCACATTATGATAAATCGTCCAAACTGCATATCTAAGTACATTGAAAACATGGGAAGTACTGATCTTTAGTATCAATGTGTAGCTAACTACAGAATCATGGTACAGGGAAAATACAACACTATAGTAAGAGATCGAATGCAAGAGGCTCTAAATATAGTAACAAAATGGACAGAGGCGGAAGGACTAAACATTAGCCCAAACAAATCTGACATAATTGCATTCACCCGCAGGAGGAAATTGGAGAGACCAGGGCCTATAAACCTAAAAGGTGCAAGCATCCAGCTTAAAGGGGAGGTAAAATATCTCGGAGTTATGATTGATTCGAGACTTACCTGGAACCAGCATCTAGAAAGAACCACAAGGAGAGCGGAAACCTCATTAATGATGGCAAGGCGATCCTTTGGAAAAAAATGGGGGTTAAAACCAGACATCGTATATTGGATTTATAACATGGTGGTGAGACCCATAATAACATACGCAGCTTTGGTGTGGTGGCCAAAGACACAGCAAAGGAAAGCAATAACGAGGCTTAGCAAGGTACAAAGACTTGCCTGTCTCGGAATAACGGGGGCAATGAAAACAACCCCCACTGCTGCAATGGAAGCACTAATAGGACTCCTTCTCTTCACTATGTGATACAAGGGGAGGTAAGATTAGGTGCTTACAGATTAGGGAATACACTGGGAAATCTTAACATTAGGCCAGGTCACATGAGTATCTCAAGGTTAGTGATAGGAGACGTGCTAGACATGAGATTAGACCACTTAACCAAGAGGTACTCTTTTAACGCTCCCTTTAAGGTTTTAATACAGGAAAGAGCGGAGATCACCATAAAGGAGCCCAATGCCCAACGACAGGAACAAACCTGGTATACAAACGGGTCTAAGACTGCGAAAGGCACTGGGGCGGGAGTATTCTTCAAAAACCCTGATACTAACCATAGGTATGTTATAGGAATACATTCCTCGGTATTTCAGGCCGAGGTATACGCAATTTTGCAATGTGCAAAAACGAACAATGAAAGAGCTGTCGAAAATCAGCATATTCAAATAATGTCAGACAGCCAAGCGGCACTTAAGGCCATATCGAGTCAGAAAGTTACGTCGAGGCTGGTATGGGAATGCATCGAAGAACTAAGAACACTGGCAGACCGAAATAGAGTAAAACTATTTTGGGTGCCAGGTCACAAAGGGATCGAAGGCAATGAAAAGGCTGACGAACTTGCAAAAAGAGGGTCAGAAGAAACAACGGAACCAGACACAAACCCAGGAGTACCAAAAAGTACAGTCCGGGGTTTTATAATTGACTGGATTCGGGAACAACATATCAACTATTGGAGAAGGTAAAGAACTGGTCCCAGAACACTTCCTTGAGGTACAACAGCTTTAATTTCTTTAGAGGTGGATTTTAAGATGTTACAATATTGCTTAGATAAAAGTTTATTGATTTTGTATTCAAGCTCTAACAATACTTTACCGAAAGACTTAGAGTCACATCTAGAAACAGTGAGGTGCGGATCTTCTTTTCTTAAACTGTTTTTTTTATTAAATTTGTTAGTCTGTGGCCCTGATCATTATTGGAATGCTTGTTCCTAAATCCAAATTGGTGGTCAGTTTTCCATGTTCAGTATCATTATAATTTCTGCAACTTTTTAGATGCTAGGTACATGCTGTGGTAAAAAAGCAGTGTTTATTATATTACAGCTTTTTTTGGCAATTGTTTTAGTATATCACCTGTAATTAGATCATGACCGGGCGCTTTCTTAGGATTAATATTTTCTTTGATTCCCTTAGCTAACCCTTTATGGGTTATCCTAAAAATTTCTATGTTTCTGTTCTCTTCTTTTAATAAATCAAGTCCCTGTTTTTCATTCAGTTGTAAATGTTTTCGAGATGATCTGCAAAGATGTCATCTTTTTGTTTATTTAATCTTGCCCAATATTCGTTGTCTTCTTTTGTTAGTGGCATGTGGACGTTTAAGTTTCGTAGTCGCTTTCCACAGAGAGTATTTATAATTTTTGTCGTTTGTCAATTTTTTAAGATATGTGTGTATTGATTCATTTTTAATAGTCGTTATTTCACTTTTTCTTTGGGGAAACTGGTGATTGGCTAATTTTTTTTTGCTGTTTTCTTTTTATTTATTAGGTAATTTTTTTATTTTTCTAGGGTATAAGTTGCCTACGTAACTTTCTGGTAGAATCGGCACAAGGTCTCTTCTGATAATATACATATATTTTTTAGGACTATAATGCCTTGTTAATAGACTTACTAGTACTCTTGTGTTTTTACTATTAAGGCTTAGTAGATGCTTGGTAAGTTTAGGCGATGGTCCTCTCAAGAACTCTTTTGACTTAGTTCTATTGAATTTTTCCACCACTCCTAAGATTTTTGAAATATCCACTGCTTTGTATATGTTCCGATAGCTGTCTTTGTGACCCCACAGAAGGGTTCTGGGCCAATAAGAGCCTTTAAGGTTACTTTTCGGGCTAGTAAATCAGCCTCTTCGTTGCTCTTATGTCCTCTGTGGCCTAGTCTAGGGTTGGTTTGTGTTGAATATCAAGCTTTTAAACAGTCCCACACAAGCTTCGAGTATACCTGCATAGAACTGAGTATTTTTAAGGTCGATCGACGAGTATATGAAAATGGTTTTTTCATTTACCATATGTACTAATACCTCTTTTTCGTAGTAATGTATTGCTGCTATTTCTACCTGAAATACTGTTGCATGTTTACCTAATCTTAGTGAGATTCTTATCTTTGGCTTAGTACTACGCTTACTGTATATCAATGACAAATTTTTCCAGCTGACACTCTAGTTGTTTTTGTTCTTAGTAGTGAACTTAGTTTAATTATATTAGGGTTAAAAAATGACTCAAAATCAGTCCCATATAAATATACTTTATTGATTATAAGACCACCGGTTTCGACATTATGCCATCGTCAGGTCCAAAAGCGCAAGGCGGACTCTCCAACATTATTATTTAAAATAGCCATACAAGAGTATTAAAAACAACAAAAGAATGTACAAAACTTATTGTAGAAAATACAAGAATTTTAAAAGTGGAAAAATAATGTGAAAATTACGAATTATGGTAAAATGAAAAAAGAAACGTTAAATATTAACCATACATAACAACCTTAACACAAATAGGTTGTTGCTAGGCAAGTGGAAACAAGTTGTGCATGTTCATTTTAATGCGCTAGTTCAGTGATGATGTAATTATGGTTCCACTGACAATTAAAGTAACAGTAGATTTTTTGAGTTCGTTTTGTTCGTTTTGTTTACCTAAATTATATCGTTTTTTCACTTTTATAGATATATTCCCAAAGTAAGTAGATAACATGCATCAAATATACAATCGTTTAGTTACCAATTACATACCTTTCAACAATTTTTTATGACCTGTAAACAATATTTAGAAATAAACTTAAAACAGTAAAAACGTATATGTCAAATTTATTGATGTTTTTGTTAAAAGTTTGATTAGAATTAAATGTCAGTGGAACCAAAATGACATCACACTGAACTAGCGCATAGTGCCTTTAATCGAAAGTAATTAAAATTAGAAAAATGTAAGTTTTTCAATAATCTACAGTTGCAGACAATCCAGTGGTGGGTCGACAAGGATCTCAGGTACGAAAAGAACAAGAAGTGGTGTATGACCAAAAAGTTTTTGGAAACAGAAACAACCAAGTTGATGGGGTTTGTGTTTCTGTTGCTAACAGCTTTTGGGAGATACACCACTGCTCTTTCTTCCCATACCTGAGGTCCACTGCTGGATTATCTGCAACTGTACGTTTCTTTTTCCAATAAGGGTAATTTTCTGACCGTAGCAGAATTTTATATAAATAAAAATTTTCCTTGGTTTTATCGGTCAAATGTTTTTATTTTTATTGTTTAGCACACTACATATGTTTCGGAAAATACAAATTTTTCCATTTTTAGATGCAGTCAATTTATAAAAATTATAGGGATGAATACAAACAGTTTAAAATTTTTTAAAATAAAAGAACGCCAACTTTCTATAAAAATAAAAACATTTGACCAATAAAACCAAGTAAAATTTTAGTTTCTTTTCCATTTTACCTTTTTTTATAGGTAATTATCACATTTTTGTTCCACTTTTGAATTTATTGTATTTCCCGCAATAAATTATGTAGCACGCTTGATATATACATTGTTTTCAATACTTTTATATAGCTGTTTTAAATGTTCGTGTTGGAGACGTCTCCTTACGCAGTATTGTTTGCGCTTATTAACCTTTTAGGCCTAATGACGGCATAACGCCGAAACAGGTTGTCTTATCATCATTAAAATGACATTTGAGCAGTTGGATACTCTTCTTCAGTTAATTATATTACTTAATTTAGCTTTAAAAGAGTTTTATATATTTCGCTTAGTATCATTATCACAGAAATTTTATTAAAAAAAATCTCCGTACTTACCATTTAATTCTTTAATAACAATAAAGAGGTAATAACCTAATTTATACTTTTTTCTTACACTTACCATCATTTGAATCATACAGATAGATTATCTGTCTCCATCCGTAGTATTTTACAGTATCAATAATAGCCTTATGGTATTCCGGTCTCATGGACACCGCATAGTCCATAAACCCAGACGATGGAGCTAGAACCTTCTCTGGAAACCATGGCGTTACAAATGGCATTTGAAATGTATTACTGTACGAATGAAGCGTGTCGAAAGAATCTGGAGAAACTGCCCCCAACATTGAAAAAACTCCTCTCGAAAATTGAGTGCAAACTGAAACAAAAAAAAGTGTTAAAATAATATTATCAATATTAAGAGAAAACTATCTTTACTGTTTTGCTTTCTAATAGAGTAAATAGAGCCACTGATGGTAAGCTTCGCTTTAAAACAAGACCTATATGGATGGCAAAAACAAAATAGTAAAAATAACAAATGCAAATTAACAGTAAAACGTTACAAAATTGATTGGCCAATAAAATTGCAATATTTGTTTTTAATGGGAAAAATTATTGCACACCCGGAAAGTAGTTTTGCAGGACTCGTTTGCGACTCGTTCAATAAACCACCTATATTATGTTACTTTCTGCCCTTAGTATATAAAAAGCTATTAGGTATAGCTTTGTACAGGTACTGCAGTTCTTTTATTAGTCTTGCATAATAATGAAAATAAATCTTATTACAAGACTGACATATTATCGCGTCATTGCTCATAAAATCAAATAATGTTTCGTAATTAGAGTTGAAGGTTAATCTAATAGATTCGAATCACCAAATAGCACTTAACAGGTGTCAAGTTTAAACGGCTTCCAAATGAAATAGCTAATTTCTAGGTTAAACACACAATCTTGAGCGCTTTCGGAAAACTATGACAAATAGCAAAAAGATGTAATTTATCGCCGAACCTACGATTTTAAGGCTGAGGTAAGATAATATCTGTCAAGTTTGCAAATAATTGGAAATATATTATGCTAGTTTCAGATAGATAGACATTTCTCTTTGATAAATGATCTAATCTGTTAGAAACATTAAATTTAAATAAGTTAACTAAGTGATATTTTATACCTAAAATACTATTTTTATTAATGTCAGTACCTATCACTGAAATGCCAAAAATGTGAATTTATATAAATAGGGAAAATATAGTACTGGAAGTGGGGCCCCACTGATACAAGTTTTTTCAGTTCCCAATACCGGATGTCTCCTCATATTTTCCCACATTTTTTAGACTTCTATCATCTGAACCAATTATGATAATCCGATGCGGTTTTATCTAAAGATTTAAAAGTAGTTTTATTAGGGTATACTGCAAATATCAGAATGTCCGTGGAATTAGAACTAAAATAAATACCGATTACTTGTTTTTTTTTCAGTCCGATTTGGATTTTGTAGCATTGACAGATACTTGGTTAAATGAATCTTTTCGTAGCTGTGAGATATTTTCCGATAATTATCATGTATATAGAAAGGATAGATCTACTTCTTGAGTTAAATTAAATTACGGTGGGGTTGTTTTGCTAGCTGTCAATAAAAAAATTATTAGTAATGAAATAGATCTAACATTTATTAGCGATATTATTCCAATTATTGATATTCTAGGCACTACGATTACATTAAATTATTACAAAATATTAATACTACTTGTTTACATTCCTCCAAGTCTTAAAGTTGTTGATTATAAAGCATTATTTGATTGTCTCTCCACCTTAAATTTTGTTGATTACTAGAAAGTATTTGTTTTAGGAGACTTTAACGTCCCCCAGTATGTTAATATGGCATCTCTCACTGCTCAACTAGTTGAATTAAACTTTCGTAAATCTTCACAATTTCAAACAATATAATAATATATTTAATATAAACAATCGATTATTAGACTTAGTTTTTTGTAATGAATCATGCACTGTTGAAAGGGTATATGATTTGATGGTTCCTGAAGATGTCTCGCATCCTGCTTTTAATATTAATTTTCAAACTTTCGTCAAGCTAATTATATGATGTTATATCAACTTCATGTGACTGGTCTTTTCTCAATCATGTGAATAATATTGAAACTGCATGTAAGTTATTTTATGAACAACTACATGGTATGATGGATATATGTATTCCCAAATACGTTCTAACTGAAAGAATATACCCTATATGGTTCAACGGACCTATTATTAGAGATATTAAAAAAAGGGAGAAAGCACGAAAATAATGATTTAAATGCCTTCGAAGAATTTAAACGGCTAAGATCCAAAATTAAAAAGGACGTAGAGAAAGCACATAAAGACTACGTTAAAACATTACAAGAGAATATAAAAAAGAAATAGTGGGAACTTTTGGTCATAAGTAAATACTAAAAGGAAAGATGGTGGAATACCTGAATTTATGACTTATGATTATTTAAATCTTTTAAACATGCAGGATATTGTAAATGGATTTGCTACTTTAAAAATTCCTACAGTAATTTATCAAATTTTGATGTTGACTTTGAGAGTGATTTATCAAATAATTTACATGTGCATATAGCTGAATTTAAATAATCTGATCTGTCAAAGGCAATATTAAAGTTAAAATCTAAATTTACTAAGGGACCAGATAATATACCATCCTTTATGGTTCGCGATTGCTCCCATGCGTTAGCTATTTCTTTAAATGAAATATTTAATTTGTCACTGCATACTGGTACATTTCTTTATGCATGGAAGAGGTCAAGAATCTGTCCTATTTTTAAAAAAGGTAAAAAAAATTGTATCAAGAACTATCGACCCATCACTATTATATGTAATGTTGCCAAAGTTTTTGAAATTTTACTATACGATAATATAATACCACACGTCAAACATCAGATAGTGGAAGAACAACATGGTTTTTGTAAGAACAGGTCAACAATAACAAATCTTTTCTCATTTACACAATACAGTTCTACAATAGTTGATGGCGGCGATCAACTAGACGTAATATACAGGGTGTTAAAAAAAAAGTGTCACAAAATGAAATGGTGAATAGTATGACCCAAAATAAGCAGAAAAGTCTTAATAAATATAGGACCGCAAATTAACGGTTTCGGAGATACGGACCATTTTGTGTTTATAACAATTTTTTATTATTATAAAAAAAGAATGATATTTATAAACAATCAATAACAACATAAAAATAATTGATAGTAATATTTAACATATCTTGTTTTGAAACATTGGGACCGTTGGGTAATAAATTGAAATAAAATATATTTTTGCGTCAAATATTTGTTGCGCCAATTTTACTAAAAACTACCGGGTATTATTAAAAAAGTAAAGATAATTTTATGCTTTTCAAATAACCACGTGACGGGTGAGGTATTTAAGCGAGAATTACTGAATGAAAAAAGATTTTATTTTCCTTAATTACTGTTAACCATTAATTTCCTTAACGCAAGGAAAACATTATGTAAGTTCGTTATTTACGGTTTCACAATTAACTGGGATTTGAATAAATTTAAATAGCTAAGAAACTATCCCGTTTATCCTTCTTTTTTTTTTAGAAGCAGACGAGCTGGTTGCAGCTATAAAATTTATACACATTAAATTGTTGCCCTTTTACTTCTGAAAGTGTATAAATTTTAGAGATTTATTGGTTAAAACTTGCTTAGAAGAGATAGGAAAACTAATATAATATAATACTAAATTTATTCGCGAAACACACAACGGTTATACATAAAATATAACAATGGAATACAGTTAATAAATCTGTAACGTAGGTTCTCACGAAGAAAACTTGTTAAAACTTTAACTAATTATTTAATTTGACGTACATGTATAAAATATATATCTATATAGAGTTGTACTAAAGTCCGGAATAAAAATATTATTTGTTTAACCAGTATTAAAAAAAAACGCTGAAACATATGAATTGATTTTTTCCCTCAACCCCTTAGCTGCAACTCTATATACAACTTATTTGTTTAAATGCAAAGGTTTGTCGTGTATAGGGTCATTGAAAAGCTTGTGAAAATGGAATCTCACTATTCCCTATATTAAAAACAAAAACTTACAAATCTCTTTTAGTGGTATCTACCCTCTACTTGTCAGGCCCCTAGGCGATAGTAAAACCTAATATCGATAGGCTTGTTAGGAGCTTGTGATAAGTGTAATATTGCTCCTAACAGTTGTACCTTGACTAGCTTAAAATTTACTTTAAATTAACAATAATAAAATTGTATCATTCCAGAAAAATGTGGTGGTTTAATTACGGTCACAATTCAGTTACAGAAACTACAGGTTAGAGAAGAAAGTAAAGTGAGACCTTAAATTTTAAAAATTAAAGATTTAAAATTCATGCACAATAGGTGGTATTTTTATTCCAATTGGTATCAATCGTTAACAGCCTTTATACTTAATCATAATATGATAACTAATATATTTACTCATGCATATATAGCCATACAATTAAGAGTAGCAGCCTTTTAATGCCTACATTACTTGAGATGGTTAATTATACAAAATAAAATAACAATAGCATGACATGCAAAGCATTCGTAGCAGAATAGTGGTGCTTAGTTTGTAATAAAGAAAAGTCCCAAGCCTCATTAGTTAAGTAACCGAAGAGTGAAGAATAAAGAGCGAAGAGAGTATAAGCAGCAATAGTTAAATAAGAACCGTCGTACTTGTATTCCAGTGGTCCATGCAGAATGGTGATGATAATATATGATAACCAGAACCAGAAGCTTGAAGGACAAAACCAGGGTGATTACTGGTCAGTGATGGTATCCCTGTCATTTTAAATATTTGTCAATACGGTAATACTTAAACAGACCTTAACTAAATAGAAGAAGTAGTAGATATTCTAAACATGCTTATCAGTAGAGGCCTAACCGAAGAAAGGTATAAGGAGTAGAAAAAGAAGTAGAAGAAGAAAAAGAAGAAGAAATAGTAAAAAATAAAAAGAAATAGTTTGGAATATAAACAAATAATATATTGGACTTTTACAATAACTATTTAATTGGTTGCTATTGTGTTTTATTAGCTATAGAAGTAAGTGATTCATTTTTAATTATCGCTTCTAATAATCATAATGAAGGCAGTAAATAACTTAATTATAATAGCAAAATATGGTGTACAAAAGAAATGTGCTTATTAGTTAGAACCCGTAACAGGCTATCTTTGATTTTGAATGAGTTTATATTAAAAACAGGCGAGCCTGGCAGTCAAAACATCAAATTTTATTGACTAACGTTGTTTAATACTGATAACGCAGCCTAGCATCAATATTCGTTGGAATTTATGTTTTCAGAAAAAACTAAAACATAAAATGGG